CGCATTGGAACTCAGACCATTTCAAGAACAAGAGTTCCAAGGCGAAACAAAGTCGTCTGTCCCAAAAAATCGAGGGTGATGGGCCTCATCGTCATACCTCCGGTGCTAAATCATTCAAGAAGAGGCAAAAAGAGATGGTATTTATTTAAACTTTAATTTAATTTTTAATTAGTTTTTTAATACTAGATTTTTTATTATGTTAATAATATATATATATATATAGGAGAAAGAAATGGGGAGAACGCCATCAATCGTAGAGTTGGTCGCTCGGACACACAAAAAGTCTGATGGGACATATGTCGATCCCCGTGCAAAACGAGTTGTAAGCACGGTAACTCAGCGACTCACCCAACTCTCGCAAAATGTTGGCGATTCAGCGGGTTCTTCATCCGGTCTCTCTGCATCGGACCAAGATCGTTGCTATGTGGAGGTAAAATTTAAAATAATTCATTTTTAAATATTATATTTTAATATTTTATTTTAATTTTAAATATTTTCTTCATTTTCCAGTCGGTCTCTCCAAATAAGGGCTGCATCTATGGATTGGGAGGATTGCAGCGAGATTTGTTCGATGATTTCGGTGCAGCAATTCCTCCTGGCATGCAGAGCGATCTCGAACAACAACGGCGGATCGAGACACTCGAGCAACAACTTGCGGCGACGAGGCAACAAGTGACTAACCTCGAACAAATCGTTGAGCTTTTGCGGGGTGATCGGCCACTCCACAATACGCCGCCAAGCTCGGGAGCAGAAACGACGGCACGTAATCTCGGGACTAGCGAACACGAAGAAACCCGTAGTGCCAATTAATTATTATTGTTGAAAATATTTTATATTTTTGTAATATTCGAACAATTTTTTTTTAATGTTTTAATTTTATTTTGGTTTTATTTTATATATATATATATATATTATATATATTAATATATTAATAAATATAAATATAAATATAAATAAAAAAATAAAATAAATATTTTAAAATAAAATAAATGTTTTATAAAATAAATGTTTTATTTATTTTATTTTTAAATATTTATTTTATTTTTTATTTATTTTTTGTGTGTTTCCAACGGTTATTCCAACGGCGATCCGTTGTAATCAATTTTTAATTCCAACGGACGGCCGTTGTAAATACCGTTGTAACATTTCGACGGCGTTTCCAATGGCAATTCCAACGGATATCCGTGGCAAAAACCGTTGTAAATCCGTTGGAATATTTCTAACGGATATTCTAACGGTCCCGTCGGAAACTAGCCACGGACGTCCGTTGGAATTTCCGTTGATATATTCCGACGAACAAATCCGTTGGAATTCCGTTGAAAATATACCACGGAAGAACCGTTGGAAATCCGTTGAAATATTCCAACGGATGAAGGCGTTGGAATTCCGTTTGGAATTTGCCACGGAATTCCAACGGATCTGCATTTTTAACGACATCCGTTGGAAATCCGTTGGAAAAGTCGAATTCCAACGGATTTTCGGCCATTTCCAACGGATTTGCCGGTTGGAATTTGGTTTTTTTTTGTAGTGTATAGATGATGCGTAACTTGATATTTATTAAGATTAGTTGAAGAGCCATATATATCGTGACATGCGAGCAGCTAATTAAATGAATCATGGGATCGAGCTCATATTAATGAGGACTAGTAGTAGGTCAAATCCCATGCATGCGTAGTCCACGTGGCTAATTCGCGGTCCATGTACGATATATATATGTATATAAAAGGCGGATAAACGAATTAGAGATTCGAGCCTAATAATTGAAAATAGGGCGAGATCTTTTTTTAGACGAACGATTGTCCAACGAAAATGGTCAAATAGCCCAATGAGATAAAAAAATATATATATATAACAGCCCGTTAACTATAGAAGCCCATTTCCACAAAATATAAAGGCCCATTTCCACAAAATATAAAAGGCCCATTTATTTCTAAATCCAAAGTCCAAAAAGCCCATCACATTCAGGAGCAATTTAAAAGAACAAGGAGAAAACTATGATCAATTTTTGTATTCCATTTTACAGCTTTTCCACGGCATGGGGAATTCGTTCATGTCCCTCTCGACCGTGGGATCCAAAGTAAAATAACAGTTGGTACCATATAACCAGACAACAACTGCAACTGTCCAATCACAACCCTGATCTCATTCACGGCGTCTGGCTTTGGACAGCGTCTTGATCAACCCTTTTGTGATCTTCCAAAACCATAGCAGATTCATCACTCCCAGCGCCGGTGGTATCGTCAGCAAGCTGTAAAACCCGAGCGGGAATACTTGCTTCACCTGAACCAACAAGCTCGAGAAACTCAGATTCTTCCAACCTACTATGATCTTTCATTTCTTACCGCTGGCTCTGCCGAAACATTGTATACGACATACCTGATCGAAGTGGAGGAACATATGAACAAAAAAGTAGATGAACAGAAGGACCCTTGCCACCTGAAATGGGCAGAAAGCTTAACCGTTCAAAAATGGCACACGAAGAAGAGATTCTGAGCGGAAACCGAAAGTAAAGTAACGGAATTTCGAATGTAGTTAACAGTACCAGCCAACCCAAGAACAGGGCAATCCCGTTGCACGTGTAAAGCTTGGAGCTTTTCTGACCACTAGTATCCAGGTACCTGCATATGCAGCATTCAACAGTGTAAGAGCAAAAGCTGACCAGACCAGGTTGTAAATATTGGATATAAGTATAGGGGGCATTCCCGATTCAGAAACCGACCAGCGTAGATTGACAAATGGAGTTGTGGCTTCGGAGAGGAGAACCATGAATATGTAGAACTGGCTTTGCCCGCTAGTGACAGCCAGTATGATAGCAAACATGGATATGCAATGGTGAAACACCTTGTGTTAACAATCATGTCAAAGGCATGTTAGAAATTAAGAAGCCATCTCATCTTTAAGGAAAGCGAAATGTAACACGAGATTGTGCTTTGATGCTTACATACTCCACACCACCGAGAATTCCAACGGACACCCGTTGTAATAGTTGAAACATTGAATCCGCTGATAAATTCCAACGGATGCCCGTTACATTATTCATTTCCAACGGGCATCCGTTGGAAATTCTGAAGCATTAAATCCGTTCGACGCACCTGGCGTCCATCGCGTCATTCCAGAATTTTTCCAACGGATGCCCGTTGGAAAAGACGATTCTAACGGGCATCCGTTGGAATTTATCAGACAACATTAAATGCGCCCAGAGATTTCCAACTGATACCCGTTGGAAATCCGTTGGAATTTTCGATTATATAAGGGCGAGCGGCTCATTCTTCTCCATCATTCATCCAAATCTCAAACAAAAAAAAACGAGCAAAAAAAAACGAGCAAAAAAAAAATCAACCAAAAAAAAAACACAAAATGGTAATTGGTTTTCAATTCTTGTTCAATTCTTTAATATTTATGTTTTGTATTAATAACTAACTATTGTTTTTTTACAATTTCGTAGGCGATTTTCTGGTTCCAGAGGATTGTTAGCGGGTTCTTCTGGAGCACCGCCACCGCCGCCACCACCACCTTCTCGTCTTCCGGAACCGGTGGACGCTCCTCCACTTTTCCCAGAGATTGATATAACTCTGGAGGAGGTAGAGGAAATTTTAAATTCCTTCGACACTCGCGAGGTCCCGCTAATCGATCCCGAACTTGACGGGACGTTATGGTAATTTATAAATTAAATTATTTCAATATTTTATTTTAAATTATATTATTAGTTAATATTAATAAATTGTTATTATAATTAGGTTCGGGGTTAACGATAAAGATTTGAGGAAAAAATTTACAGCAATAATAACGTCCAATTTTCCTCAACTCTACTACTGTTGGACGGTGGTACCGGACAACATCAAACGTTCTTGGTGGCATTCGTTCATCGTAAGTTATATTTTTAAAATTTTATTTAAATAAAATAATTAATCACTAACTCTATTTTTTTTTTAAAGCAATCTTTTCGGTGAAAAAAAAGCACACCGATAAAGTTTACAAAGAGTTCAACCAGCTGGGTATGCAGCGGTTGAAACAAATGATGAACAATGCCAAACGCCGTCATCAGCTGCATGGACTGCCACCATAACATCCAGATTGTGTCGAAGCGTTAGCGAACTCCAGTAAGACAAATCCCAAAAAATACTACGCTTATACCAGTTATGCCAATCACCAAATACTTTGCACTTCTTATGCCCAAAATTTCCTCCACAATGCACAGAAGCTTCCAAATCATCCAAATATCCACTATTTATTCGCTCAGA